CCTTCTGAACTGCGGTACTGAGAGCCATACAGACAACTAAAAGCTTCTATTCTCATGTCTTCCTCTCAGTAACTGGAAGCTGAAGGATCTGACTCCCATTTACACAGCTCGTTTACACAACCCTTGAAAAACATTGCATTTCTGTGTATGTTAGGAGTTCTTTGCTACTGGAAACAGTGTGAAGGAATGTGAGTGTAAATAAAGAATCAAATTCCTTGTCTGTCTTCTCAAGCTGAAGCCAAACGTAAAAATTAACCCCAATAGACAATTCTTGCTGTTTTACCACGACACGACATAGTTTACTTACTTGTTGAAAAAAACATCATTATGTGAGGTCAACATCATTCCCTTCCCAGAGGCTGCTTCTAGCCCCAACAGTTGCTTTCCTCAGTGCAAACAAGGCTCCAAAACAAGACAAAACGAAGCCTAATATAATAGCTGGGTTATCTCTTTTCAAGTGTCTTTTGAGTCCTGATTCAGGACTTTTTTTCCTCCCCTCAAGGACTGGATTTGGCAGAGTGTTTTTACAGTACCATTTACAATAAAAAAAAAGTTTTTTACATCTTGCTTTAGGAAGTACTCCTCTTTCCAGCAGGGAAGCCCACTGAAAACAAGTCACAATCAGATTAATAAGAGAGCAAAACTGGAACACAGAGATGCAGGAAAAAATCTAGCCTGTCACTTCTGTTGTTGATCTGGAATTTTACAACAGCTTTCAGACAACTTGATATGGAAAAAAACTCACAGAAGAAGAGCAAAAATAATATCACATTTTCTAGACTGAACTTTTTATTTATGTTGATATAGACTTATTTTATAAAACTTGAAGAATGATTACATATTATCAAGGTACAGTATAGGCTTAAGGCAGTAAGCTTAACATTAGATTAGAAAAATTATTATAGATTGCAGTATTTTATGATGCTCTGACCAACCAGCTCTGTCTTGTATTCATGATCTCTTGCAGAGAAGGTTTCCAGTAACTGCCATGGTATATGACATATACTTAGTAACGGGACATAAACGTGGGCAGCAAATCGTGGTATGTAATACTACCAATCAGTAATGCAGTAGCTTTTAATGAAACAGTGAGGCCCCCTGCTTTTCTATTTTGAACTGTGTAATGAAGCATCAGATTAGTTTGAAAATTACATCTGAAACAAAAGTTTTGGCAGTGTAATGCTAAGAAGTAGGAAGTCCTAAGTGGCATCAAAACGTACTGTTACTGATTCTTCGGGTTTCAAGAAAATGACATGAATGCTTGGAATCAACTCTTTTCATTCTTTAAAGATACCCTTCCGGACTGGCATGATATGATGTCAATCACTGTAGGTAAAAATATAAGCTTATCAAAGTTACTTCATGGTGATACATCACGTACCACAGTGATTTCCCATACTTAACAGTAGGGAGCCACAGATTAGAGTACAAACCTTCACTTTCATAGCTTTTGACTATGGTTAGAATTGTAGGCTTGCTAGCCTTGACATGCATCCATTAAGGCATAAAAGAAATCAGGTAAATCTATCACTCTGCTGAAATTGATGAACGTGAAATCACTTTGGTCAGTCTTGATTTTAGAACCTTCATAAAATCCCTTTGGCCTGACTATAACAAGTCAATTATATTATATACAATGTAGAAGTTCCAGAATACCTTGCAGTTAATCATTCAGATTAACATTGGCAGCTGCTCTGCTCTATGTATGCTACTCTTCTCTACTGTGCTTATAGAACTGGGAAGAATGCAATTCCTCTTCACTGAGTACTCTTGGACAATACGAGTGTCTGACTGAAGCTAAGGTTGTAGTGGTTAATATAAAGCAAAGCTATCCAAGTCTAAAGAAGTATTACGTCTAATGATTTTGCAATGCAAATGAGATAATGGAGACACTGATAAGCAGTTACATATGAGGCAAAAGACCAGGATGGCTAGAGTCAAGCAAAGCATTGCTAAAGGTCTGTTAATGATATTTGTAGTATTGTACGAGGAAATACTACATGCAGTTTAAAACTGTGCAAAAGCACTATGAACTGGTAAGAAGGGCTGATAACCGAACTTCAGCATATGCTTAATGCAGGGATAAAAAACTAGTGAACTAAAAAACCCATGACATATGGGAGATAACGGGATAATGCATTAGTTTGTGTTTAAGAAAATGGTTGCCAAGAAAGAAGTTAAAGTTTGAAACTTTTTGGATGGTACTGCTTGACAGGTGGATACCACTGAGTCTGTCTGATTAATACAAAGGGTTATGTTTGCTGTCTGCCATGTTAAACTAATTAAGAAACCCAGGTAATAAATTTAGTCTTGAGTTGAGCTTTTGCATTTGGGTAAAACTATATGAATCTAATTCCTGGAAGATGTAGATGAGTTAAGAGTTAATGGAAAAACTGCGGACTGTGGAGAGCAGCTACACCATTCTGTCCCAGTTAGTGGAGTAGAGCGGCAAACCCTGGAAGGAGTAGATAGTACATGTGTACTGTTAATTTATTTAGAAGATACTAATATTGAACATTCTTTATCTCTTGTCACTTGCTAGGGTCTCCACAGTTCATACTCTTGGATGCATCTGGGCTAGACCACCATCACACCACTAACACATGTTCGTATTTTACCTTCTTATCCACGCAAAGGCATCCAGTATGCAAACAGTGAGTTTGTCTATAGTTTCAGTATCACTTTCTTTATTGCAGGCTAGTGGAAAATCCAAGCAAAGGAAGACAAAAACCTCCCCAGACCTCTTACCTTGGATGGTTTAGTTTTCAGGTGTGTAGAAGTATTAGCCTGCATTGAACAGTTCCTTATGTGCCATTATTTTCCTATGTCAGAAGTAGTTGCCATAACTGATGGCTCTATTTTTCATTTCCTTCACCTTAAGTCCTGTATCTGTTATTAGGAAAGACCTTAATGGAGACCCTGAGAGAGTACTTCCTGTAGCACAACCCCAATGCTTCAAGGTAAAATTGAGAATACCACACAGTTCACGTGTACGCAGGCTATGCATCGTTCGATACTCAGGCAGATGAGACAGCAACTTTCATCAACTTTGATCTTTGGCTATCTGTTGTCTTCGATGACAATGGTTCTTCTAGGAAAAGTGTCAACATCCACAAATATGTAGCGGACCTCAAATCTTCCTCTCTCAGGATTCTGTAATGAGGAAATACATTTCAGGCATTGTTTTGTCTTCAGTAGTACACATGCAACATTAAGCTTGTCAGCTATATCAAGCAACTGTATATACCTCTTTGACCTCCACATGGACTGTTCCCTGCTTTCCTGGTTCTGAGCCTTCAATATAGAACTTCAGACGCATATGTTTCAGTCCATCCTTTATGTATTCAATGTGACTAAGAATAGAAAAACAAAAAAACAGCCCACCAGGCTACATATTATATGCTAGTTAAACTTCAAATCTCAAGTTCTTATCTAGAGGAACTGCTGAACTACTTGGGGAGAAAGTGTATTCTAATGCTTATCATACAGTCTACATGCTACCATGGGTTCCTTCCTTCTGCATTTCTCTTCCCAAGCTTTACTGTAAGTGTACTGGGAGCAGCAGAGAGTTAGAAGAGAGAGCTGGTTAAGCAGAGATGGTTACACAGGTTAGATTGGTTAGAGAAATGGTTAACAGATGAGGTGCTTACACGTCCTCACTGCTTACTGAAAGAAACTGGTATGCAAGTCCTCCTCTCAAAACTCAACAACAATCTGATGGCTGAAAATTCTGGAATTTCCTTGTATTTATTCTAAGTAATCCTTAGATTCAGAACCTGACATTTAGGAAAGAAATCACCCAAACTGGCAGGTTTCTTTAGGCACTTAAACTAAGTTACCAAGCCCAAATACGAGAAGGAACTCTACCAATCGGTGTAGTTATCAGGTTAATTAAATCACATCAGACAATTTACTATAAGCTTTACTTATTTTGGCAACAACGTTTTACTGCAATTGTATAATTTTGGCACTTGTATTAGACCTCCAGCCCAAAAGCTGCTATTTAAGTTGCAGCTAAATACTAGATAAATAGGTCAGGTGACTTTCTAGATAACCACTTCCAGAAACTAACGCTCAGGCTAGAATTCTGTGCCAGTTTAGATTTCCTACTGAAATTACTAACTGCTGCAAACTACCAAGGTCTTCTTTCCATTAGTCATACCTAAACACACGCTGTGAATTAAACTTTCAGTACAGTTAAAGGTGATATGGTAGGTTACCGGGAACAAATATGAATCAAGAGTCTCATTGCAGTAAATTCACATTTGAGATGTACGTGCACAACCAATCTGTACATGTTTTGGGACATTTAAAGTCATCGTCATATCACAGACATCAGCTCTACCATCTTACCAAGTCATTGGCTCAAAAAGCTATTTAAATTACTAGACTTTCAAAACGATGGGAATCAGATACCAGGAAAACACTGATTGTACATTCAGTTACCTAGATAGTTTGTTTTACAGACAGATGCTTAAAACTATTACTTATATTCTTTTTGCTTAGCAGTTCCACTTTGGACACCACCTTTTCATACAGTCTGATGAAAAGATAAATTTTCAGTTCCAAGTAAAAACCAGTCTTCTCCTAAAAATCTCAATTTCATGGATCAAATTTTATATCTGGGCTTGTGTGTCCCATACTATATGAAACCTGCTTGAATAAATTCAACGCAAAGAACCCAATAAAGACAAAGTCCCTATTGGGCTATAGGGCAGGGAAGATTTATGTCTTGTAAGAATTAGTTCTGTTGTTTACCTTATCAGGAGAGCAAAAGGTTTAGGTGTGAGCTGCTCTGTTAAATATACAATAGACCAGTAGCCTCAAGTAATAAGAGCAATGGGCAGTCAGCGCTGCATTTCAACTGTGGACATACAGTCACTGCAGTGACTATAACCCAGGCAGCCAAATCCAACCTACTTTAAACTGACTAGCTTGGCTTGTGAGAGTCTGAAAGTTAGCACCTCTCCTGTTCTTTCTGGCCTGACAAGGAACTGTTGTTCAAAAGGAGAAAAATCCCTCCGCTGTTCTTTAAAGAATAATTTCACTCTTATTAGAGGGTGTCAGGCTGTGAACTTCAGTCTGATCTGGGCGTCGCCCTGTTCCTTAGATGCATGCCTGTGCCTCAGGGTTAATCTCTTAAGACTTGTCCTATTTTTTGGAGAGAGCAGCTCTCTCTTTACCGTACTGGCTGTTTCTTCTCCTGAGGCATTCCAGAACTAGCATTTTATATCGTATAAAGCACTGTATTTAGTATATAGTTCAGGTATCTAACTCGGTGGGGAAGTCCCCCTCTAACAGTCAAACGCCTAGAGGTCAGATATCATTACAGTGCCCACGTCCCCTTGTACCTCTTTACACTTACAACAAAGAAATAAGCCTAACTTTGGCTGACTTCTCTCACTTTCCACATCCCTTTCCAGCTTGTTTTCTTGTCCTGTAAATATAAGGCGCTTATGGTTAGCAGTTCAGATAACAGTGCTAGTAGCTAATCTCTCACTAAACAAGAGCCTAGCATTTAGATTTTGTGAGACTAACTCCAAGGTGATCTCAGCATGTCAACACTAACAGTGCTTGCAAGCACTGGCTCCATTCTACAGCCTCAACTGTGCTCAAATATTTTTTAAATGTTGACATCTGCCACACAACAGGTCCCACAAAAAATACTCCTTTCATTTCCATTCAAAAGAGACAGGGTATGTCACATCCCATCAGTTCAGTAATCTAGATCTAACTTGCAACAATGTAACCTAAAGTGTCTTTGCTGTGCAAAAACTAGTGTCTGTACAGGGCAAATAACCAAAGGACACCTGACAAGCTGTCGTCTTCCTCGTCGTGTTGCCTCCCCATAACCTTTAATGGGTTCACCAAAAACAGCAATTATCTACAAGAGAAAAGAGGTTTGAGTTGTCAGAAGGTATCACATTCAAAGAGACATTCTAGCACCAACTCATGTCCCTGCTGTGAATGTATTTTCTTTCAACAGAATGTCCCTTGTGAATCTGATATGTCAAGGAGAATGCAAGAGTTCATGAAAGAGAACTGTATGTTGAAAATTCCTCAGTATGATTTCTGTATTTCAGTGGACTTATTTACAGGCATATGAAGTGCCCACAATAAATCCTACCAATATCTTCCACATGTACAACCCTCTGAGATTATGCTATTTTAATCTCCACTCTTACTGTATACTTCACCCTTTGCACAAAAAAGGAAAAAAAGCACAAAATGTTTGCTCATGTCTCCTCTAAGAGGATATCTGACTGTTTCAAAGTTTAAAATGTAAATGAACTCCCCTTTGCTTAATCTAATAAGAAGAAACACTACTGTTTAAGAAATACATCTGTTTATTTCATATCTATAAAGCCAGACCAAATTAACCTAGCTTTAAACTTACGCTACAGTTGGTTATAAAGGAAGGATAATTTTATGGTTTAAGTATTGGAGAGGAGTCTCATTTGTAACAACTTGTTCCAAAGCAGTCTTTGTTTTTCTAGTGATAACTTTTCACTTCATTTCTAGGTTATCCTCAGTGGCAACCTTGTCTGGAAAGTTATTTCATGCAGTCACTGTTTTCTTCCTGAAGTAGTGACCTTTTAGGGTCTAGTTTTAGATTGCTTTTTGTTTACATCCAGGTATGTTATGTGACTATGTGACCATATGACTGTCACCTTTCTCTTCTCCTTTTAGCCATCGTGATACGCTAACCTTATTTCAAATTCAGCGCTTAAATTCCTGGCTGTTTATGCAATGCTTTGCACAATGACAGTACCCTAGTGAAGTGTCAAAACAGAGTAACTGTTGAGGACAGATAGCAGCTCCAAGTGGGAGAAGGTGCCCTCCTGATCTGCAGAACTCTGCAAGTACCCCCATTTAGTAGCCATTCAAGTAGGTCTATAGGATTTTCTGTACAGAGGAAAAAAACCACACACCCTGAATGGTCAGACGCGCTGTAATTGCATTAGTGTGCTGCGGTACACTTGGATTAACTTGACTTAGTATAGGTTCTGATCTGGAGCTGACCATCCTCTGGCCAGCTAAACGCATAGGCAAATCTTGCTCATGGTTATCTGCTAAGCGCCCTGTGGACATTCCTGTACTTTTGCCCGCAAGACTTCTGCAAACTTTTGACTCAAAGAGAGGTAATAATTAGGGAGAAAACTTATGACTAAGGTCCAAAAACCAACCTCAGGGTGAGATCTGCATTTCTCCAAGGCATCTCCATAGATCTTACTTGGACTGGAAGAAGAGAATAGTTCTTTAAAAATCACATAGAACAAACCACCTGGAACAGAAACAAAAAGTTTGCTGAAATGAAAAAAACAATCCAACCAGATGGAATTCATGAGAAGTGTCTTCTGACAAAGAATATAATTAAAAAAAAAAAAACCTGTAACACCAATTCCAACGAGCACCACTACAAAATAGGTGAAGTCTCTTCCAGCTTCTTTCACTGAAATAGAAAACAACGCAGGAGTTACAACCTTGGATAATAAAACCTGAATAGCTTTATTATATAAATTATCTTCTATTAGTCTATAGTTCAAATAACATTTTGGTAAACTTCATATTTACAGAAGACAAGCTCCAGTAACAGCTTCCAGAATACTTCAACACTAAAAGAGAGCGATCACAGAATGTCGGTTTTGCATGGAATATTTATATTCTGTATTAAGCCCTATTATTTTACTGTTTTCCTATTAGTTGTTTTCAAGATCCTGAGTAACATTTGCTACAGCTCTCAGGCTGACATAAAAAGTAGTCTTAAAAAAATAGTAGGAAGGCATTTAGCACCAGAGTATTCACGCTACTATATAAACCGATAGTTACAGCAGTGTTTAACCAAAGAAAGGGAGGTGAAAAGCAAAGGTAAAGCACAATATAAGCTTACAAACTGCACAAACTGATTGAAAGTAACTGATTTTATGAATTCTCAGTCAAGTGAGCAATAAAAAGGAGGCTATCACACCAAAATATGTATTTTATTTATTGAGAGTCAACGGCAGTTTACAATGTAATTTTTTCTAACGTGCTAGTAAAAGTATCAGTGAAAAAAGTCCTATGAAATTCTCTGTTATGAAATATTTTTTGAGAACTGAGGAAGAGATTACTGATTTGTTTAAATAGTAAAGTATGCCTTTTAGCAAAGTGCAAATTAGTGAGGAAACTTTAATAACCCTTTTCCCAGCAGCCTTCTCATCAGCTGAAGTTTTTCACAAACCTTTTCAAAGCCCTTAGAATTTCTGAAGCTAATTACGTAGCAACCACTTTTCACCGAAATGAATGAGAAGACCAAAATGACAGGCATCCTATGAAGAAACTAATGTCACAAACTACCCCATTACCAGAGAAAGAAAATTATAAACAGCAGAATGAATTACTATAATCTACAAGAAATTTCCCTTCTTCATCCCTCTTCACCCCCAAGCATGAAGTTTTGTTGCAACTGCAGCTGAACTAAAGATGATGAAGTGGAACAGATTTTAGAAAACTAAGTAGCAGTGTACAAAAAGCAACTTAATTAGATTTTGACATGTTCCAGATTGATGAAATCATGATATTCACTGTACACGTCTCTGAAATCGTTTTTAGTTTAGTGTTATACAGTGATGTGAAATGAAGCGTTTCAACTCTGCACTCAATGTCTAGGCTAGGTCACCAAAACATACCACCTGTGGGCAGCATTCAGAGCAACTTAATCCAGTCCCTCTCTTTCCCCACAGCCTGTCAGAATGATCTATGAGTTAAATAAATTGCTCTGGTGGCAACATATAACAAAGGATGCCTCGTTTCCCATGATCCCACAGATGCAAGGCCACTTATATGAGAGGCAGTCTGGCTAGGTAACAAAGAGGGAGCTGTAGGAAAGCAGCAGCTAGAAATAGGTTGTGGGTGCTACAACCATTCCTCTGACAAACAACCTGCTCTACATTATTGAGCATCTGTTTCTTAACAGCTCAAGCAGATAGGGGAAGATGGTACTATATGTGTCCTGCTGGCTGGGTGATCTGGAGAAAACTCTGTCTCAAGCCCTGCTGCCTCTTCAGCCTGAGAGGAAGTATTGTTGCATGGCAGAACGTTGAAACATATCTCATTACTGTTGCAGTGGTTGGGCAGGATATTTTAATCCAGATGAAGTTATCCTTTACAATCAATGTTAAAGAGCTAGAAAGCTAGTGAGACCAGATCAGTCAAGTCTTGGTAGTTTTCTGGGTGATTTGTGTCAATCACAAGTTATTAGGCTAAATAGCAGGACTACTAGCTGAAACGTAAAGGTTTGCTGCATACCAGAGGACAGGTTAGATCATCTACTGGTACTCTTTAACCATGAATAGTATGACATTACAGAAGAGTAGGAGGACGAGTAACATTTCAACAGCAAATTTTTTCTGTGCACAGTTTGAGAACTATTCCCTTTTGTTACTTATGTTGAAGATTAAAATAGATTTTAATCCTCAAGAAAAAAAAATGTATTAACAAGTTAAGAACTGTAACTAATGTTAAGGTTAGCCTGCTGAGCTCATTAAAAACAAAACCAAAACAGGGGTACCTGTGACAGCAGAGGACTAAACTGAACGGTGCAGGTAGAGATCTCCTCAGTCATCCACATAGAAACATTAGCCGACTGCTGCAGATCTTACAGGGAATCAGCTTCCTGTACATTAGCTACTCAGAGTGCTGAACCATTTGTCAGCTAGCCTAATATATAAATTCTTTGTATGCTGAATTCATCTGTTTTTTTCCATTGGAATTAACTGTTAAATTCAATCACACTGTACTAATATTACAAGTACAGTGTAAACTCTGCATGAGTTGTCTCTGGAAGCGGAAGCAAATTACCCAGGCAGCATGCAGTTCCAAGCAGACTAATTAACTCGATGAACAGGTGAGGAGAGAAGAGAGTGAAAAAAAAATGCAAGATAAATTAGCCAGTATTGAGCTAAATGGAGAATTACCTGTCACCTAGTAAAAATCTCATTTATGATAGAAATATTTCCAATAACAAAGAGCTTTGCCAATTTTACCAGGAGTAAATTTGGTTTAGCAGCATCGAAGATGGATTGTGTGCAACAGGTCTTCCTTTAGAAAATGGAAAGGAGAGGTTACCATATCTTACCCCAGATGTGGCACGCTCTTGACTTAAACACTAAAAAGGTGTTCGGAAGAAGCCACGGAATTTCTATTTTGCTTGTGTAACACACCCCCTAAAATGTGTCAATTGCTGGAAACAGCGTGATGTAAAAAGAAAAGGGCGTAACTTGCCGTTTTTCTGAGAATCACAACTTTTCAGCTCCTGAGTTCTGGGGCTCTAAAATCTCAATTGCAACAACGTCTGATTTCCTATGGGTCAGCCTTTTCAAGTATTGCACACTATTCCCACTCACTAGTCACTACAGGCCGTCTTACCTTTCTGAGCAGCCGACAGAAGGGTTTCTTGTTTTTGATCCCTTTGCACTGACACCTGTTTGCTATTACCGCCAGATTTTCCAGCTCTCAGACCCCCTGCTTGCGTCCAGATATTTTGTTTTGCATCCTGCAAAAATCCAAAAGGGCGCAGGGCAGGCTCCCTGCGGGGGGGCTGGTGCCTCCACCTCAGGCACCAGGTCGCCGAGAGCACCCTTCCTGAGGCTGGCAGCAGCCACTTCCCCGAGGAGACCTGCAGCTTTTCGCCGCACTGCCTCGCTCGCACAAGAGAGGCAGAAAACATGCTGAGGCAAAAGAGACGGCTTCAAAACGCTATTACCCAAGTGTGATTTATGCTAAACTAAAAGTTTCTCCTGCGTGCCACCGCGACCCGTCTTCCCGGGTCCTCTCCTCTACAAGAGGGGCACGCAGGGTGCCGCAGGGGAGCCGCCCTTAAAAAACCATCAGTGCGGTCTCCTGCTCTCAATTTTGGCCTGCAGCTTGCGCTTCGCTTCAGAAGTTCACGTTACCCCTTTACTCGCGGACAGCTGCGCCTCGCCATTGTCCCGGCGGAAATCTTTCGGAAAAAGTAGCAGCGGGCCCTGGGAAGGGTAGTTTATAAAAACTCCCTCTTGCGCCCGCTACTGAAAACGACTCACAGGAAAGTAACTACAGCGACCGCGATGCAAAGCGCCGACGGCCCGGCCGGGCCCGGCCCGGCGCGGCCCAACCCCCCCCGAGGGCCGTTAACCGTCAGGGGCTGCGTGCGCGCGCCGGCCGTCGTGTGCTTCCGGCGGCCGTTATTGTGGTTGGTTGTTTTTTTAATCTGTTTTTGCTTTGCCCGGTATGAAGATTTTTCAATAATGTCCAGTATGGTGCAGAGGTTTTTTTTTTTGTTGTTTTTTGTTTAGGAACAATCAAACTAATGAAATGTATCATTTTTGCTCATTAAATCCTGCTTGCAAGTGCGTTTTTTTTTTTTTTTGCCTTTAAAACCTGATGGAAATAAGATCTCCTTATTTAAAATCTGTACGTGTCCCGGCAGTCATGGAGCCAACCACCTGTCAGAGCAAATCCTATTCGTCAGTTTTGCCCTGAACACGTGTTTAATCTTGTTTTTCTTTAAGAAACGCATACATCACAAGAGTCTGCATGCAAACGTATAAGCCACATGTAAGAGAGATATATGTAAAATCTCACTCAGCAAATAAATATGATGAGTTAGATTACCGGACAAGATTTTGCTGCACCTTTCCTAAGGAGCTTCACATCGATAAGGAACTTAACGAATCGTTAGCGGAAAACGGGCGTTAATTTAACGGGGAAGGTCGAGTTCATACGTTGCGGCGTCTTACTGTCACTGTTCCGCGAAGCAACTGTAGGAAACGCTCAAATAACGGCTTGCTCTAAACAAACGGAGGCGCTGCCTGGGAACTCACACGAGTTCCTGCCGCAGGTCCTAAAACAACCAGCAGCTCAGGGAGAGATTAATTGTTTTTCCATCTAGCAACGCTCCCTATCAGGCGCCATCTTAGACGCTGCGCGGCCCCCGCGCA